CAACAGTTCATTTAGTGACCAAAGTTACAACGGCACGGAAAAAAGTGCAGAAGTCAGGGTACCGAAACAATGCATACAAAAAAGGCAGTCATATTATTTCAGATCGCTAATATGTTTTGAATGTTTCCCCTCTTACAAAATACCTGCACATACAGGTATGTGACTTTGACTTACAACCATCCATTTAGTGACAGAAGTCACAACGCAACTGGAAAAAGTGAGTTCTGACCGTGTTTCACACTTACGACCATTGCGGTATCTTCATAGTCACGGGGATCAAAATTCAGACGCTCGGCAACTGTCTCCTATTTATGACGGTTGCCGTATCCCCAGGATCACGCAATACCCTTTTGCGACCTTCTGACAAGCAGAATCAATGGCGAAGCCAGATTCACTTAACAACCGTGTTGCTAACTTTAGAACTGCCGTGATTCATTTAACAACGGTGGCAGGAAAAGTCGTAAAATGGGGCAAAATTCACCGAACAAACGTTTCGCTTAGCAAGAGGAATTTGGGGCTCAATTGTGGTTGTAACGCAACCTGTACCTCATTAATTAACAGTTGCAATATGTGAAACTGGCATCCTTGTTTGAACTGCTCTGACATTGGTTTCTAATTGATTCTGGTGGTGGTGATTCAAAACCACTTGAGATTCTCGTTATGATGTCGGTGTTAAAATCCCCGGGAGGAATCTTTGCTCTTTGCATATTTATCAGCCCATGAACGCTCCTTATCAGCTAACCATAATTTCCTTTGAAAAAGATAAGCCTGGCCATCTGACCTTGCATAGGAGACCACAAGAGACCGCAGATCTGTAAGCTAATTGGGAAGTTGAAAGAAACATTTTGGAAGAAGATAACGGAAATGTACTTCCATATCATGCCAAGAAAAACTGCATGGATATATCCCCGCAGTCAGCAGGAGTTGAGCTTAATCTAAGGGAAACTTGACAGCTTTTTTATGAGGGCCACATAGAAGAACTGAGGATTGGGAAGGAAGGAAGGAAGGAAGGAAGGAAGGAAGGAAGGAAGGAAGGAAGGAAGGAAGGAAGGAAGGAAGGAAGGAAGGAAGCATTGTTTCCTAATTGTTTCCAAAGAGACTAAAATAGAGTTCGTGCATTAACAAAATTATATTTCTAGAAGGTTATCAGATCCACACATGAGAATTGGGAGTTAAAATCTGAAATTCAAATTCAAATCTTTTATATTATTCTACATATATTCTATATGTTCTACAGCCCAACATCTTAGCTTACGTAGGTAAAACCTGGCTAGAAAGAATATGCACATAAAAGCCTACGAAAAAGAAAAAGACATATATATATATATATATATATATATATATATACACACACACACACACACACACACACACACACACACACACACACACACACACTTTATTCAGTTTTATATATAAACAAGACAAAGATTTCATTTCTATTTACATCGGATCTGCAGTGTTTATACATATATACATAAAATGTCTCTGGTATCACTTTATCAGTCTATTACTATTTATTTATCATACCTTATATTCCCTCTTTAATTCTGTTGTTCAACCATTCGTACCACCTTTCCCACACAGTATAATAATCTGAATTCTCATTGTTATTTATTTCATACGTTAATTTACTCATCTCTGCGCACTCCAGGATTTTCCTAATTATAAGTTCTTCTGGTGGCCGGGTTTTCTCTTTGCAGAGTTGTGCGTATGCCAGTCTAGCAGCTGTGGTTATGTGTATTATCAGATGGATCTTTTTCTTTTCATACCCCCTTTTTACTATTCGCAGGAGAAATATTTCCGGTGTCAATTGTATGTCTTCTCCAATTATTTCTTGTATCCAACTCCAAATTTTATTCCAGTATCTTTTCACTTCGGGGCATGTCCACCACATATGAAAGAAGGTGCCCTGACCATGGCCGCATTTCCAACAGTTGGGGTGCATATTGGGGAACATTTTAGCTAATCTGGCAGGTGCTAGATACCACCTGTGAAGCATTTTGTATTGATTCTCCTTATAGGTCGCGGCTCTAGTTAATTTATAATTTTTGTTCCATGCCTCTTCCCATTCATTGAAATTTAGGCTATGTCCTATGTTTTTCTCAAACCTTTATTGTCAGTGCACAACATACAGTATGTACAATGAGATTGGTTGAGCTCCCTCAGTGCACCCCACACAACACAATACAACTCACAGTGAAGGCAGAAAATCCCTAACCCAATCAATCATATTAACAAAACACCCAGTCCTATTGCACCAGTTTGAACACGTTACACATTGCGCCGGCCCTGCAGTCCATCATACTATGTAGTTATGATGTTATTTCTCATTCAGGAGTCTGACAGTCCACGGATAAAATGTGTTCTTCAACCTGTTTGTGCGGCTGGCTACACTTCTATATCTCCTTCCCGATAGTAGGCGGATAAAGAAGTGGTGACCATATTCATATTTTATATCTATTCTTATATTACTACTAATACTTAACATATCTACTATTATAACATTTCTCAACTCATTTGCCTTTATAATACATTATTTTTCTATTTATTCTCTAACCACTGATAGAATAACTCCCATTTATTACCATGTTTCCCCGAAAATAAGACCCTGTCTTATATATTCTTGAACCCCAAAATAAGCGCTTGGCCTTATTTTTGGGGAGGTCTTATTATTTTGGGGGCGCATGGAGCAAGATGGGGCTCTTCTTGCAGTCTTACCTGATTTCCAGCTCTGCGTTTAAATATTTTCAATGAGGGCTTATTTTTGGGAGGAGGCTTATTTTAGCGCATGCGCTCAAAAGCCAAATTGGGCTTATTATCAGGGGAAGTCTTATTTTCGGAGAAACTAAGGGTATAATAATCAGATTCTTCCTTTTCTTTAATTGCAAGTGTTAATCTATTCATTTCTGCACATTCTAGTATTTTCTTAATCACATTTTCATCCGTAGGGATCTCCTTCACTTTTTCCAATTTTGTGCAAATACAATTCTAGCTGCAGTTATTACATGAATAATCAAATATACGTTTACTTTACTATATATTTCTGGTAAAATCCCCAACAGGAATAGTTCAGGTTTTAAATCAATATGTTTCCGCGTCCTCTTCTCCAACCACATGTGATTCCCTTGTGTGACCTTTCTGATATTCAAAGTCAATGGGAAAGCCAGATTCACTTAACAACCATGTTGCTAACTGAACAATTGCAGTGATTCACTTAAGAACTCTGGCCAGAAAGGTCGCAAAATGAGGCAAAATTCTCACTTAGCAACGGAAATTTTGGGCTTAATTGTGGTTGTATGTCAAGGACTACCTGTACACTATATTTACATCTAGAAGGCATCTTTATAGCTGTAGAATAAGAACAATAATGATTTGGAAATATCAGCCTTTGTTTATGCTTTCTTCCCAGAGAGGGTAAAATTATCCCTATTTCTCTTGTGTCTTTATTTCCAGCATGAAGCCATCATGGCAAGACTTCCTCAAACGCAGGACCCCATGATACCAGATGATGACACCGATCAATACTACACTGTTTACGGGGACCACGAATGCAGAAAGTGTCCACCAGGTATTCCATTATCACCTTGACCTGAGCCTTTGTAGTAAGGCCTGGACATGTATATGACCTGCTCCTTTTTTGTTTTAGAAATATAAGTTAGACCAGGGGTCACCAACCTTTCGGACCTCAGGGACCACTAAATTCATAATTTTAAATCCCGCGGACCACTAATATGATCTGCCTAATGACCAGCTGGGTGGGCGTGGCAAGGTGGTCATGTGACTGGATGGGCGTGGCCAACTTGATGTCACTCATATCGAGGGGTGCCTCATTGGCCTCTACTCGCCCCTCCCCTCCCAGCCACTCCTCACCTGCCCGTCCGGGCTCCTTAGGCTCCAACAGGAAGCAGTTGTTGGAGCTAAGCAGCCACCAGGAGAAAGAGTTGGCAAAACAGCTGGCTCAGTTCAAATTGGATTTGGCCAAGAAGGAGGCTCAGCAGAAGCACCTCACTGAGGACTACAAGCATAGGCTTTCCAAGCAGAGGGAAGACCTGCAGGAGTGCAAGGCCAGGTACCGGCGCCTGGAGGCTCAGTGGGCTGAGATGGTCAGCCAGTTCCAGGCCATGATGCAATCCCACTAGAACAAGGCCCTCCCTCCAGCCTTCGCCCAAAGCCGCACACCAGGAGGCTGAAGCAGACCCCAAGTCGGAATTTCTGCCCCCCTCCAACCCACACAAAAAGACCCCGAAGGGGGAGACTCTCTGCAGCAACACAAACGTTCATTGCATGTATCCGGCCCAGGGGCCGTAGTTTGAGGACCCCTGATTTAGTGCAATATAAAAAATGCAAATAATTTTTCTGTGGACCACCAAAATTTTCTCACGGACCACCAGTTGTTGATCGCTGAGTTAGACAGTTCTTTCTTTTTTTAAAAAAAAAAATATTCAACATTTTTCACCTTTAAAATCACAATTACACTTTTACAGCTTTCCATTATCGGAAGATTTTCAATTTATCCTTCGGCTTATTGTGTACTTGTACATTCTTATTTCTTAAGTACTTATTTATATAATATGTACAATATATACATATCTACTACACACTAAGTATATATTTTTTCATTATATTATCTTCTCTTAACATTCACTGTACATTAATTTTAGATTTCTTTTCCAGCCAATTATACCACCTATTCCATGTCTCATAGTATACTGTTTCCTCTCTGTCCCTTAATTCCATCGTTAATTTGTCCATCTCCGCATATTCTAGCACCTTTTTTATAATTATTGTGTTTGATGGAATGTGTGGTTGTTTCCAATTTTGGGCAAATAATATTCTGACTGCGGTGATTATATGAAGCATGAGGTATTGAAATTCTTTACTCATCTTTCCTTTTATAATGCCCAAAAGAAAAAACTCTGGTTTCATATCGATTTTTAGTTCAATAATTTTCTCCAACCACTTTTTAATTTTTAGCCAATAATTTCTGGCTTTGGGACATGTCCACCATATGTGGTAATATGTTCCTTGTTGGTGGTTACATTTCCAGCAATTTGGTGGGCTATTAGGAAACATCTTGGCCAATCTCGCCGGGGGTAAATGCCATCTATAAAACATTTTATACATGTTCTCCAACAGTTCTTTCTTGATGACCCCATGGGACGATCATTTCATAAAACCATGCCAAATAATTATTTCCGCATCATTGTCCTTAGTTCTAAGAAACTACATAGGAAATGACCCATTCAAAAAACTGTGCTAGAAGCCATTGGAAGCGGTAGATAACAGCAGAAGCCAACTTTATTTTGTTTTTTAGTTTTTTTTAAAATCACACCGCATTAGTCATTTCCCCAGAAATTCTACAGAATTCTCGTCGCAGTAAGAAATTGAACAAGGAGAGCCAGATTGGGGGAGGGGGGAAATTTAGCCCTTGAAAAGTTAAATGAGTATTGTGGGACATCTATTTTTTTTTTAAAAAAATTGATTTATATGCCGCCCTTCTCCGGAGACTCAGGGCGGCTTACAATGTGCTCAGCAATAGCCTTCATCCTTTTCTATATTTATACAAAGTCATCTTATTGCCCCCACAACTGGGTCCTCAATTTACCTACCTTAGAAAGGATGGAAGGCTGAGTCAACCTTGAGCCTTGGCGAGATTAATTAGCATGACCATAAAGAAGAAAGTTGGAATATTTAATTTACTTTCTGGATAGTCACTTTTCTTCTAGGAAACTGGACAAAACAAATGTTGCCGTGGCAGTCATTTTATTGTAGCTAAGGAGATGATTCAGAGGGATTAGAAGCTCGTTCTGCTGTTAAAAAAATAATAATAATTGTGTGGGTTTTTTTCTCTTCCTCCCTTCCAATGAATAGGCTCATCCTCCTTCTGATGGACTTTCCATTGGTTGTTCCCCTTAATATCACATCTTTCTTAGCACATCTGCAAAAAGTATGCTTCTGCTTAGAAAGGCAGATTCCCAAGCGGTTGATACACATGTGCTTCCGACATACTATGGAGACACTTCCACAATGTGCAAGACACAGTATTTGTTTATTTTACTGAAATCATATCACCGCCAGTTAGAACACGCCTGTGCTCCTGCTATCGCTTGATACCAATCTGCCATGAACCCCGGGGGAAGGGTGTTAGGGAGGAGGGGAATGCTTGGGGAAAAGCAAAAGTAATATCCAGTATGAGCCTGGATAGCTCAGCAGACTAATGCATTGTAATTTAACTCCAGCTGTCTGCAATTAGTAAGTTCGAATCTTGCCAGGCTCAAGGTTGACTCAGCCTTCCATCCTTTCTAAGGTAGGTTAAATGAGGACTCAGTTTGTGGGGGCAATAAGCTGACTTTGTAAAAATATACAAAAGGATGAAGGCTATTGCTTAATGCATTGTAAGCCGCCCTGAGTCTCCGGAGAAGGGCGGCATATAAATCAAATTAAAAAAAAAATGGAGGTAAGTGGGCCTCTCCAAAATGGTGTTTCAAGGTTGCTCCGCTGTGAGAAGAATGCAGCTGCAAGCCAGCCTACACCCAGAGCGACCAGTTCCAAAACGTCATCTTTGAAATTGATTGGATGATGGGAGGGACCAGCAACGGGAAGTGCCTAAGAGGGGAAAAGATTTCACTTGGGGTTTTGGCACGCGAATTTCAGTTCTGGCTTTGCTTTATTGTATTTCACTTGACCTTTAGTAAACGATACCTTTCTCAACAAATGGAGTCAAGGATCATGCTTGCTTAAAAGTTCAAGTAGAGGCAGAACTGATACCACCCATCTCATCTACGTGTCTCGAGGTGGCTTACAAGTTAAAGCAACAAGAACTGAACTCCTATCAACAAAATTAAAAACAATCCAAACGGTTACCGTATTTTTTGGACTATAAGATGCACTCCCCCCCCCAAAAAAAGGGTGGAAATGTCTATGAGTCTTTTAGAGCAAATATTGCAGTGGGAGGGGGGTTGATGCAGTGCCGATCAGCTGTTCTAGGCGGCGGGATTGCCGTCACCACCTATCGCTACCGCCGTCCATTCGCACAGATTGTGGCGAACAGGCAGCGTCAAATGGGCAGATTTTTTTTTCTTGTTTTCCTCCTCTAAAGCTAATGTGTGTCTTATAGTCTGGAGTGCTTTATAGTCTGAAAAATACGGTAAATAACAAAAGCCACACCCCCCCAAAAAAAATCATAGGAGAGTGCCAACCTACAGCTTGCAAACAATACAGCCTCACTTCTATGAGATCCCCAGGCCTGATGGCCCATCCATGTGTTCGGTGACTTCTAAAGGCCAACAGGGTTACGCCAATCTAACATCATGGCGGATGATGTGCTAAAGCCTGGGTGCCATAGCAGGATAGACTCTGTGTTCTGACCAACACTTCCTGATACAGTAAAAGCACACAATGAGTCCCAAAAACCCTCTTTTTTATTTCAACGGCTGTGAATCCTGCCTGTTCGTTCTCACTCTGTTCCTTCACAGATGAATCCCAAATAGTTTGTAAAGAGCCTGACAGAAGTCTGCCACAGTTCTTCTGATAAGGCTGATAAACACCCACCTTTATCTCCCTTGACACGCTGCCAAGACCTAATTGGCAATTAACTTTGCAAGGCCACACGGAACACGGAGTCAAAACGGAGCTGCAGTCTTGAAACCAGCCAGCACGAACAACAGTTGCTTCCTGCAAAGGCCCACCTGCCTTTGCTCCTCTTTTATGTCTTATGGGAGGGGCCAATCATCTCCAAGCCCTACTCCCGAGTCGTCCCTTTTGTTTTAATTGTTCTTGCCATCTGGTACCTCTGTATATGTGCACGCTGCAACAGGTTCTCCCTGTTCCTGTGCCTCTGCTGTCCAACTCTGGAGCTCCGGAGTCCAGATGGCCCTGGCCCCATCTCTGCCTCCGACACAGAGCCCTCATCCGAGCCTCCCCAGACTCATGACTGGCCCATGTTCCTCCCCAACCTCCTCACTGTCCGATTCCGCTGCCAGCTCCTCAGGCTGCTGGCAGAACCACAACACTTGAATCCTTACTAGGGCATACAAAACCTATACCAGCCAATTCTTGAATACACCCCATCCGCCTGGAACCACACTGTATATCGGACATTAACATAATTGAGTGGATCAAGGTATTTTTTGAGAAGAGTACTTCACTCCTCTACTCACAATAGAATTCCTATGCCCCCAGGCTTGAAATTTTGGGCTTGGACAATCTGGAACTGCGCTGCCTGCGGCTCAATCTAAGCATAGTTCACAAATTGTCTGCTATAACATCCTGCCTGTCAACGCCTCTCAGCTTCAACCGCAATAATACACGGGCAAACAATCGATGCAAACTCAAAGTAAACCGCTCCAAACTCGATTGCAGAAAATACGACTTCAGCGGGGTGGGTTCTAATTTTTTTTACTGTCGGTTCTGTGGGCGTGGCTTATTTTGTGTGTGGCTTGGAGGTCATGTGACTAGGTGGGCGTGGCTAGCTGGTCAGAGTCATTTCTGGAAGGTCCTCGCTCTTACGACCGGTCCTCGCACTTACGATCCGACTCATTGTTTGCTTTTAACACTGATCAGCTGTAGGGCCCCTTTGAAGCCCCGCGGCAAGAGTTTAAACAGTTTTTTTCCCTCTAGTCACCAGCTGGACTCAGGAGGCAGCAATAGATTGGGGGTGGGACCAAAAAAAAGGTAAGAATAACGTGGGGGGGGAGGGCAGGGGGGGAGAACCGGTTTGTGACATCATATCGTCACTGCTACCGGCTCTGCCGAACCGGACCGAACCGGGAGGAACCCACCACTGGACTTCAGCAATAGAGCGGTCAATGCCTAGAACGCCCTACCTGACTCCGTTGTACATCCTCAAACCCCCACAGCTTCAACCTTAACTGTCTATCGTGGACCTCACCCCATTCATAAAAAGTCCGTAAAGGGGGCATACATAAGCGCACCAGCGTGTCCACCATCCCTGTCCTACTGTCCCCATTTATCGGTATTTACCTCTTTGTTCATGTTTAGTTCATACTTATACTTGTTACCTTATATAGGTTTGACAAACAAACAAACAAACAAACAAATAAATATACTTGTAATATGTACTTACTTTTATATCTTCTGCTTTCTTCCAGGGACTTTCGTCCTTGATGCATGCGTTCCCCAGAACTGAAGGGACTTGTCAACCCTGTGAAAACAACACTTATTAAAACACTCGAATCCTTTGTTTCCTGCTTTAGTTGCAGAGCCTGCAGATTTTAGGTATTAAGGATGGAGACAATTTATTTATTTATTTATTTTATTATTTTATTTATTTAGTTTGTTAGATTTTTATCCCAGCTTTATTACTGTATAGGTCACTCAAGGCAGCACTGCAAAAAACTTTTTCATTTCCTTTTTCTTTTTCATTTCCCCCATAGCAACAATCTTCTGATTGTTTTCATCTTTTCCTAGCTTCTTATCTAAGGTAGGACTAGACTCACCGTCTCCCGGTGATTGGCCAAAGTCACCTAGCCAGCTTTCACGCAAATGGGACTAGAACTCACCGTCTCCCGGTGATTGGCCAAAGTCTCCCAGCCAGCTTTCACACCTAAGGTGGGACTAGAACTCACCGTCTCCCGGTGATTGGCCAAAGTCTCCCAGCCAGCTTTCACACCTAAGGTGGGACTAGAACTCACCGTCTCCCGGTGATTGGCCAAAGTCTCCCAGCCAGCTTTCACGCCTAAGGTGGGACTAGAACTCACAGTCTCCCGGTGATTGGCCAAAGTCTCCCAGCCAGCTTTCACGCCTAAGGTGGGACTAGAACTCACTGTCTCCCGTGTGATTGGCCAAAGTCTCCCAGCCAGCTTTCACACCTAAGGTGGGACTAGAACTCACCGTCTCCCGGTGATTGGCCAAAGTCTCCCAGCCAGCTTTCACACCTAAGGTGGGACTAGAACTCACCGTCTCCCGGTGATGGCCAAAGTCTCCCAGCCAGCTTTCACACCTAAGGTGGGACTAGAACTCACCGTCTCCCAGTGATTGGCCAAAGTCTCCCAGCCAGCTTTCACACCTAAGGTGGGACTAGAACTCACCGTCTCCTGGTGATTGGCCAAAGTCTCCCAGCCAGCTTTCACACCTAAGGTGGGACTAGAACTCACCGTCTCCCGGTGATTGGCCAAAGTCTCCCAGCCAGCTTTCACGCCTAAGGTGGGACTAGAACTCACCGTCTCCCGGTGATTGGCCAAAGTCTCCCAGCAGCTTTCACACCTAAGGTGGGACTAGAACTCACCGTCTCCCAGTGATCGGTCAAAGTCATCTAACCATCTTTCATGTCTAAGGCGGGACTAGAACTCACCAACTCCCAATTTCTAGCCTCATGACATAACTACTAGACCAAACTGGTTTGCATCTTATATTTGAAGTAATATATTTGATATATTACTATATTTATAATATATTTATAAATGCAACGAATTGAAGAAATGAAATGAAACCTGAGAATGCCTTTTATGGAAAAATTTCACCCATTGCATTCTAAGAAGGAATTCACATGTCACACTAAGCTGAAATGAAATGTAATTTGGTAATTCAACCACCTATGCTTTTCTCAAGAAATCATGGTTAAGGATATTTTGGACAAACCATGCCATGAAGTCTTAGTCCGAGTCTTCTTTGCTGCTCAGAACTGCTGCTTTTAATTCTAAATTTGTGATATGTTCTCTTTCCAGATGAAGTCGAAATAAAAAAGTGTACTGCAACCACAAATACCAGGTGTGCTTGCAAGAATGGTACTTTCTGCTCACCTGGCCAGCCATGTGAAACGTGCACTAAATGTATGACAAGGTCAGCATTATTCGACACTGCTTAAAATGCTCGAGAGAACTAATTTGGCATTCTCTATTCTGACACACACAAAAATTTGGGAGAGGTTTGGAGAAGATGGCCTGGATGGGGAGGGAAGAGCAGGCTAGAGGAGGAAAAAAGCAGACAGTTCCGCTACCAAATTTCCAAGCTCTGAGCAATCCCTGATGATGTGTTCATAAAGGAACTCAGAATACAGAATAGAGCCGAGGTGGCGCAGTGGTTAGAGTGCAGTACTGCAGCTAATTCAGCTGACTGCTAGTTCAGCAGATCAGCCGATCAAATCTCACCGGCTCAAGGTTGACTCATCCTTCCGAGGTGGGTAAAATGAGGATCCAGATTGTTGGGGGCAATATGCTATTTAGTATACTGTCGATTGTTGTAAGCCGCCCGAAGTCCTCGGAGAGTGGGCGGCATGGAAATATGATTAATAAATAAATAATAACCGAGTTGGAACAGGGCTGTGGAGTCGGGAGATAAATGTTCCGACTCCGACTCCTCAGTTTTTTGTACTTCCGACTCCGACTCCCCGACTCCGACTCCTCTGTATTAATATGCGAATGTATTCGCTTTTTGTGAATTGGGACATTTAAACTTGCTTTTTTAAAAATTCCAATCTAAATTTAGTAGGAGTCGGAGTCGGTGCATTGTTTGCCGACTCCGACTCCAGGTACCCAAAATTTCCTCCGACTCCTCAACTCCGACTCCACAGCACTGAGTTGGAAGCAACCTTGGAGGACTTCTAGCCCAACCCCATGCTCATGCAGGAGGCTGTCTATCATTCTAGACCAGAGGTGTCAAATTCAAGGCCAGATCTGGCCCACGGGATGCTTAGATCTGGCCCGCAGGATCTCCTGGAAACAGTGAAGGATTGGCTCGCGGTGCTCCTGCCAAACGAAAACGGATCTACGGAGGGCCATGGGTAGGCCTCCCGAGCTCTGTTTTCCCTGGCAGAGGGTTGAAGGAGGTCATCGCAGCCAAAAACGGAGCTCAGGAGACTGTTTTCATTGGCCGAGTGCTCGGGCCACCACAGGCACCCCTACACGAGTGACGTCGAGCTGGCCTACCCATCCTGGCCATGCCCTTCCCCGAGGTCAAACCCAACTCTGATGTGGCCCTCAATGAAATTGATGTTGACACCCTGTTCTAGACGAATGGCTGTCCAACCTCTTCTTGAAAACCTTCAATGACGGAATACCCAGAACGTCTGGAGGCAAACTTTTCCACTGATTAGTTCTTCTCACCGTTATGAAATTTCTCTTTAGTTCTTGGTCGGATCTCTCCTTGATAAGCTTCCATCCATTGCTACTTGTCCTGCCCTCAGGCGCTTTGGAGAATAAGTTACCCCTTCTTATTTATGACAGCCATTTTCTCATGTAACGCTTGTATTTTACCCTACTCTCACTTTGAATGGTTTGTTTAGCATTTTGTTGGTAATAGGTATGTGAACCTGTAGGTTGATATGGCCTCTAAGCTAATCTGTGTGTGTGTGTGTGTCTTTGTACAAAGCTGCAAGTTGAAGCATAAAAGCACCACATCCATGCAGAGACTTAGCTCAACTGCTTTGAAGCCATCTTGAGGTGACCAGTTGAGAATAAGATGAGTTTTGATGAGCATCATATGTAGATTTGCCCTACCGGTAGATCAGTATGGAGATTTCTCAGGCAGCTACACTGAGCTTTTAAGATTCTGAGTGACACTTTTTGAAGCAGTGGTTGTGCACAGGTTTACGTTTGGAAGTATTATGGAGGAGGAGAGAAGGAGAAGGAGAAGGAGAAGGAGAAGAAGAAGAAGAAGAAGAAGAAGAGAAAGAGAGAGAAGGAGAAGAAGAAGAAGAAGAAGAAGAAGAAGAAGAAGAAGAAGAAGAAGAAGAAGAAGAAGAAGAAGAAGAAGAAGAGAGAGAGAGAGGGAGAGGGAGAGGGAGAGGGAGAGGGAGAAGGAGAAGGAGAAGGAGAAGGAGAAGGAGAAGGAGAAGCCGCCATGCTCAGAAATAATACCTCAACTGAAAAGGCGATTGTATCTACTCTGGAAAAATTGCCTTAGCAGATAAGAGAATTCTCTGCTTCAAGAAATTGATCTCAAGAAACGCATTAGCCTTGTTGACAGCTTCTTGAATACATAACTTCTACAGAGTGGTGAAATTGGCCTGTCGATCACCAGGTGGCAGCTTCATGTCAACAGTCTATCACAGTAGCATAATGGAAGATCTATCTAAAATTAACAATTCCAGTGACTGCCACAGTACAACCCAACCCTTGTGACACCACAGCAACTCTCATCTACTTATTTAAGTGCTTATTTTGTTGATATATGTATATTTCTATGGTATGTCTTGGAAATGTTCTAGATTGCCAAATAACCTAAAATCTTAGGTAGGTTATCCCAAAGGTGCTTTTTCAAGAGGCAACTGGACTTTCTGGTTTTTCTTCGAAGGTGTTTAGCTTCTCATCCAAGAAGCTTCTCCTTCAGCTCTTCTTCAGAAACTTCTTGGATGAGAAGCGAAACGTCTTCAAAGAAAAACCCAAGAAAGTCCAGTTGCCTCTTGAAAAAAGCACCTTTGGGACAACCAGGACCTGGATGACTCAGAATCTCTATAGACATTTAGGATAGGTTACCATCAGTGGTGGGATTCAAGTAATTTAACAACCGGTTCTCTGCCCTAATGATTTCTTCCAAAAACCAGTTTGCCAAACTGCTCAGAAAATTAACGATCGGTTCTCCCGAAGTGGTGCGAACCGGCTGAATCCCATCACTGGGATCCCATCAGTTAGCTGCTGCTTCTAGTGGTTCAATGTTCAGTAATTCGAATTGATTCTTGTTCAGTCTGAAAGGTGACCAAGTCCTTCAATGTCCGTTGTCTTTTTGTGTCCGTAGCTGTGGTCCTGGAGAAAAGAAGGTGCAGGATTGCACGCCTACAAGTGACATCCAGTGTGTTCCTGATACTACTTCATCACCTCCAACAAGTAAGTTCCTTGCATACTGGTAGAACAGTATTAGCGGATGTGAGATTATGGTGCTAGTCCTAAAATGAATGTTCATACAGAACAAGAAGGAAGTGTAACAAAATATGGCAATGGTTCTACAGAGGAATTATTGAGACTGTCATCTGCACCTCTATAACTGTCTGGTTTGGTTCTGCAACCCAACAAGACAGACACAGACTTCTGAGGATAATTAGAACTGCAGAAAAAACAGTTGCTACCAACCTGCCTTCCGTTGAGGACCTGTATACTGCATGAAACAAAAAGAGGGCTGTGAAAATATCTACAGACCCCTCACATCCTGGACATAAACTGTTTCAATTCCTACTCTCAAAACGACGCTATAGAGCACTGCACACCAGAACAATTAGACACAGGAACAGTTTTTTCCCGAATGCCATCGCTCTGCTAAACAAATAATTCCCTCAACACCGTCAAACTATTCACTAAATCTGCACTACTATTAGTATTAGTTTTCTCATTGTTCCTATCACCCATCTCCTCCCACTTATGACTCCATGACTATAATTTTGTTGCTTGTATCCTTACGATTTATATTGATTGTTTCCTAGTATGATTTGATTTCTTATTTATACCCTATGACTATCATTAAGTGTTGTACCTTATGATTCTTGATGAATGTATCTTATCTTTTTATGTACACTGAGAGCATACGCACCAAAGACAAATTCCTTGTGTGTCCAATCACACTTGGCCAATAAAGAATTCTATTCTATTCTGTTCTGTTCTGTTCTGTTCTGTTCTGTTCTGTTCTGTTCTAATGATTTTTGATGAATGTATCTTGTTTTTTTATGTACACTGAGAGCAAATGCACCAAAGACAAATTCCTTGTGTGTCCAATCACACTTAGCCATAAAGAATTCTATTCTGTTCTGTTCTGTTCTGTTCTGTTCTGTTCTGTTCTGTTCTGTTCTAATGATTCTTGATGAATGTATCTTGTCTTTTTATGTACACTGAGAGCAAATGCACCAAAGACAAATTCCTTGTGTGTCCAATCACACTTGGCCAATAAAGAATTCTGTTCTGTTCTGTTCTGTTCTGTTCTGTTCTGTTCTGTTCTGTTCTAATGATTCTTGATGAATGTCTCTTGTCTTTTTATGTACACTGAGAGCATACGCACCAAAGACAAATTCCTTGTGTGTCCAATCACACTTGGCCAATAAAGAATTCTATTCTATTCTATTCTGTTCTGTTCTGTTCTGTTCTAATGATTCTTGATGAATGTATCTTGTCTTTTTATGTACACTGAGAGCAAATGCACCAAAGACAAATTCCTTGTGTGTCCAATCACACTTAGCCAATAAAGAATTCTGTTCTGTTCTGTTCTGTTCTGTTCTGTTCTAATGATTCTTGATGAATGTATCTTGTCTTTTTATGTACACTGAGAGCAAATGCACCAAAGACAAATTCCTTGTGTGTCCAATCACACTTGGCCAATAAAGAATTCTGTTCTGTTCTGTTCTGTTCTGTTCTGTTCTGTTCTGTTCTGTTCTAATGATTCTTGATGAATGTCTTGTCTTTTTTTGTACACTGAGAGCAAATGCACCAAAGACAAATACCTTGTGTGTCCAATCACGCTTGGCCAATAAAGAATTTTATCTATCTATCTTCTATCTTATCACATGTCCACCATAAATGATAAAAGGTCCCTTCCTTCTATCTATCTATCTATCTATCTATCTATCTATCTATCTATCTATCTATCTGTCATGAGAGCTCTAGGTTAGAATACTTCCTGACCAAACAGATTACTTGATTCCTGTTGTCCTCTGGCTTTTGAACCAGCATATGGTCCCTTCTCTGGAAAAGAACCAGCATTCTGTATCTGCTAAACAGGCAAAGTTCTTTGGAAGTTGCTCTCATATTAGATGGGGCTGATTCCAGAAAAGGGTTTGTAGATTAAAGTCATTACCTCACATTTTACTGCAAGCCTTTCAGGAGCCAGGATAGGACCCAGTTTGAAGAAGCATACCATCCAAACGATCAGTCTATACCTGCCTTTTTTTTTCTCCTTTCATGTTAAGAGTCCCCTGGACAAGGAGGTCACTTGGTCTGGCTTTTTGTGCTTGTTCCGGTGCTGTTTGCGGTGGTTCTGGGCTTGGTGATATTCTGCTGTTGGAGAAAAAACACAAACTTTAGAGAAGGTAAGAATAATCTTTTTGTTTCCCCCGAGACTCAAAATGATTAAGATGTTTAGCATAGCCCTTGCTATGATAGTGTGATATGCAAAGAACTTTTTATCTATTAAAAAAACAAAAAACAAAGAAGGGAGCATCTACAGCACTGTTTCTCAACTTTGGAAGCTTGAAGATGGGTGGACTTCAACTCCCAGAATCCCCCAGCCAGCAGCGCTGGCTGGGGGATTCTGGGAGTTGAAGCCCACCCATCTTCAAGCTACCAAGGTTGAGAAACACTGCTCTACAGTATTTAGAAGTTATAGAGTTCTAGAATTCTGCCATCCTGCTCTGCATCATATCATCTTTCTCAACCTTGGGAATTTGAAGAAGTGTGGACTTGAAGTCTCAGAATTCTAGAGAACAGGGGGACAGAATTGATGCATAGCTCTTAATCCTGCCCAATGGCTCCCCTTCCTTCTTTCCTTCCCCGTAATCACTGCTACTCATGTCCCAATGTATTTTTTCCCCTTGTTTTTAACATTTTTTATCTGCAACATCCAGGGTCACTGGGAATTGAGTGGCAGAATAATAATAATAATAATAATAATAATAATAATAATAATAATAATAATAATAATAATAATAATAATAATATTAATAGCCTTTAAAGGCAACCAAAACAAAAGCAGAATATAAGAAAGAAGTAATTGAGCAGCGAGTTGAAAATTGGAAAAGCAAAGCTCTGCATGGCCAATACTTTAAAAATATTGAAAGCAAAGCTGACCAGAAACTAACTTGGAACTGGTTAAGATCAGGAGTACTGAAAAAAGAAACAGAAAGCTTTATTTTGGCAGCTCAAGAACAAGCCCTAGCCACAAACTGTATGAAGGCAAAAATTCAACATGTTACCACCAACAGCAAATGCCGCCTCTGCAATGAAAAAGAAGAGACAGTTGACCACCTGATCAGTGGGTGCAGCAAAATTTCACAAACTGACTACCTACAACGCCATGACCGTGTTGCTAAAATCATTCATTGGAAATTGTGCCAGAAGTTTGGATTTGAGTACAGCAAAAACCACTGGGAACATCAGGTTGAGAAAGTTTTAGAGAATGAGAAACTCAAGATCTTGTGGGACTTTAGGATTCAGACTGAGAGGCACTTGGTCCACAACACACCTGACATAACAATAGTTGAAAAGAAAAAAGTATGGTTCATTGACAGTGCAATACCTGGTGATGCACGGATTGAAGATAAGCAGCAAGAAAAAAATCACAAAGTACCGGGACTTACAAACTGAAGTTGAGCGACTGTGGAAAAAGAAATCGTGTGTTGTCCCGATTGTAATTGGAGCCCTTGGAGCAATACCCAAAGGGCTACCCCGCTATTTAGAAGTCCTAAATTTGCCGGACTTGAACATTTTGACTCTACAAAAAACCACCTTACTCGGAACATCCTCCGACGATACCTTAACAGTTCCTAGGTCCTTGGTTAGGACTCGAGCTGCTGAGCTATTAATAAGCCTCAAAGGCTGTGAATCTCACTAAAGATTTAATAATAATAATAATAATAATAATAATAATAATAATAATATCCAACTAGCGTCCTGACTCCAAATCTTCCCTCCCCTCCCCTCCCCTTTTTTCCCTTCCCCCATCCCCTTCCCTCCTGTTCCCTTCCCTTTTCCCATCCCATTCCCTCCCTTTCCTTCACCCGTCCCCTTCCCTTCCTCCTGTCCCCTCCCGTCCCCTTCCCTTTCCCTTCCCAATAGCCTTTCAGCCTGGGCTTTTTTCCATTCTCACCAGCTACCTACCCGCAAATCCTTCTCCATCTGGAACTAAGCAGTCCTAGTTTGTTCTGTATTTTATAACAAATGTGCATATTCCATTTTGGACTCAGCTTTTCAAAACAGCTGTTCCATGCATGTAACAGTTCAGTGCATGAATCATTTAGGAGGCCCCCACTTAAATGTCCTTATAATGTATCTATACTGTATGTGGTCATTGCTCTGCTGGCTAATTTTCTCTAAACCATCCTGTTTTGTCTTACAGTTTGCATAGGTTTCTGGACCAACAAGGTAAGAACTGTTTCCTCCTCTGGAGATGGGAAAGGGGATTTATTTTTTTCAGTTTCACAACTTCGTATGAGAAGCTGTCTTATAACTTGGGAACTCTGTCCATGTTGCTCATTTTTGCCTAACTCTTTTCAGTCTGTTAAGTGTGATTCTTTTTCGGTTTTCCCTCCCTAGTCATAGAATATAGGATATTTTGCATACATAAAATACCGTACTTTTTGGAGTATAAGACACATTTTCTCCCCCCCTAAAAGAGGGTGGAAATCAGTGGTGGGTTCCGCCCGGTTCCGCCGAGCTGGTAGCGGTGACGATATGACGTCACTGAACCGGTTCTGCCCCCCGCCCCCCACACGTTATTCTTACCTTTTATTTGGCCCCACCCCCAATCTATTGCTGCCTCCTGAGTCCCAGCTGATGGGCTATAAGGAAAAACTGTTTAAACTCTTGCCCGGGGCTTCAAAGGCCGCCCTACAGCTGATCAGTGGTAAAAGGCAGTTTGGTGGTAGACCGGTGCCTGCAAAAATACATGGGTAGACTAGTGCCTGCAAAAATAAATGGGTAGACCAGTGCCTGCAAAGATACATGAGTAGATCAGTGCCTGCAAAAATACATGAGTAGATTAGTGCCTGCAAAAATAAATGGGTAGACCAGTGCCTGCAGAAATACATGAGTAGATCAGTGCCTGCAAAAATAAATGCATAGACCAGTGCCTGCAAAAATACATGAGTAGACCAGTGCCTGCAAAAATAAATGGGTAGACCAGTGTCTGCAAAAATAAATAGGTAGACGGGTAAAGCTCTGCAAGCAGTTAAAAGCCTGGTAGACCAGTACCTCTGCTAAATCCTAAAGAATTGTCACATGACCATCAAGCCACGCTCACAAAATAAGCCATGCCCACAGAACCGGTAGTAAAAATTTTTAGAACCCATCCCTGGTGAAAATGTTCGTATGTCTTATACACTGAATACAGCCATTTTTGGCCTCCCGAAACCCCACCTCGCACATGGGCCTGTTTTTCACAAAAAATGGGCCTGCAGAGGGTTTGGGAGGCCTGCAGAGTGCTCCTGGGGGCTGGGGAGGGCAAAAACCTGACGCATGAGGGGTTTGGGAGGCCAAAAAGAGGCCCGTTTTTCTCAAAAATGGGAGCGTTTTTGCCCTTCCTGGCCCCCTGGAGCACTCTGCAGACCTCTCAAACCCTCTGTACATCCCGTTTTTGCGAAATGATAAATATTGGAGGAGTAAGAAGAAGACACAAAAGATGTACTCAGATAATACACTGTCAGCACGTCAAGATGCATTTATCCTAGTGCTGACATGAGAAGAACGCAGGCGTCTGCGACGGGACGGTTGTCTTTCACCTACTTATTTCCTCTGGAGATAATGTCCCCTAGGAGATGGATGGGAGGGGGGAAATTCTTTGAATTGGAACAGTAGATTAGGGGTGAATGATTGGGAAGATGGCCAATGAATGCAGAGGAGTGGGGGAAGGAAGAGGAGGGGTTTTGGGGCAGCACGTCAGTGCCGGCTGCAACGAGTCAGTGAAAAAAGTGCTGTGCTTAATAAAATGGAAGTTTGTTTTATAAAAGACTTTGTTTGCGATGCAATTTATTTGAAGACAGCCTGAAACCCTGACATACACTGAATGATAGATTATGCATTGTATGTTTGCTTGTCTATAAAATAAAATAAAAAAATACTTTAAAAAAAAGTCTGTCCGGCAGGGAGATGAATAGTTGTCTGCCACATCTAATCATCTCCTCCCCCGGCCTTTTATCTCCAGAGCTAGGATGGGGCTTCACTAGCAGCGGTGGCTCTTCCGTCCCTTCCTAGGATTGGTTAAATTAATTCAGTATTAATTTAACAGGAAATTAATCTTAACAGTAACATTATTTTGCTGAAGTAATCACAATGGTTAATGAGCCTCCACTTAATTTGGGTCGCCGTATTTCTCAGAATTCACTCTTAACTTTGGTGAATATGCCCTAGTTACCTCCCGTATGGACTACTGTAATGCTCTCTACATGGGGCTCCCCTTGAAAAGCACCCGGAGGCTCCAACTGGTCCAGAATATAGCCGCGTGGGTGATTATGGGCACAGCTCGTTGTGCCCATGTAACACCTCTCCTACGCGAGCTGCACTGGCTCCCGGTGGTCTTCCGGGTGCGATTCAAGGTGTTAGTTATCACCTTTAAAGCGCTCCATGGCTTAGGACCTGCGTACCTTCGAGACCGTCTTTTGCCACCAATAGCCTCCCACCGACCAGTTCGTTCTCACAGGGAGGGACTACTCAGGGTACCGTCAGTCAAATTATGCTGACTGGCGACTCCCAGGGGGAGGGCCTTCTCTGTGGGGGCTCCAACCCTTTGGAATGAACTGCCCCCGGAGATACGGAATATCCCTGATCTCCGTGCTTTCCGCCGTGCCCTCAAGATCCTGATGTTCCAACAGGCGGGGCTAAACATATAAACATGTGAATGTTTTTAAAATGTTATCTAATTTTAGGTTCTATTTAATTGGGCCAAACTATGTTAATAAATTTAATTAGCAATTTTATGATGTTTGTGTATCTATATTTTTCTTGACTGTACATCACCTTGAGTCCTACGGGAGAAAGGCGGTATAGAAATATAATAAATAAATAAATAAATAAATAAATAAATAAATAAATAAATAAATAATGCTACCCACCATATCCTCCTTCTAAAATAAACAATAGCTAAAATGGCATCTTCTGTTAAATGGGGAAGAATGAATATTTGGAATGTCATTTAATTCAGTAAGACTTGCTTTTTATACCTAAAGGGATTTGCGCACTCTTGAAATCCAGAGACAAAGTCATATTTTATTTTTTAGAGCTAGTAAATCCACGGTATCTTTGTTTTTTGCAAGCGTACCCAATTCCTCCAATATCTGCCGAAGAAGTCCAGTCCAGAAGTAAGCGAAGAACATGACAACATGTTGAACACGCAAAGGACGGAGAAATCCAAAATTCCTTCGCCCAGTCCTAGCACTGCCAATGGACAAGCACCAGAAATAATGACTCCATTAAGAGCTTCCGCACCAGAGGAGGTAACCAAAATGTAAAAATGTTGTGATTGTTAGTCACACCCGTATTCACAACCACCATATTTTTTGGAGTATAAGACACTCCGGACTATAAGACGTGCCTACCTTTTTTGGGGAGGAAAATAAGAAAAGAAAAATCTGCCTGTGCCTCCCAGTAATTTGCCTCTTTGCAGCAAACAGCAAACTGCCTGTTTCAGTTTCATTTTCAACACATCCTGATTAGCACAAGAAAAAAAAAAATCTGCCTTTGCCTCCCAGCAATTTGCCTCCTTGCAGGAAATGGGGCACGGCAATAGGCAATTCCTGCAGCCTGAAACAGCTGATGGTCGGGAGGCCGATCCAACTGACAATCAGCTGCTTGTGCTGAAGCTGAAACGGGCTGTTTGCTGCAAGGAGGCAAATTACTGGGAGACAGAGGCCAAAGGGTGGGGGCTGGTGGGTGGGCGGGCCTACATTCGGTATATAAGACGCATCCAAATTTTCAACCTCTTTTAGGGAGGGGGGAAGTGCGTCTTACACTCCGAAAAATACGATATTTATTTATTGACTGTTCAAAATTACGATGGTCCTGAAAAAAGTCCTCTCCTCACAAATTACAACCATTGTAACCTCCCATGGTCAGACGATTGTAATTCACCCACTTGGTAATTGGCTTCCATTTACAACCATTTGCAATGTCCTATGATAGCAATAGCAATAGCATTTAAGCTTATATACCACTCCACAATGCTTTATAGCACTCTCTGGATGGTTTATAATGTAAGCACATTGCCCCTCAACAATTTGGGTCCTTGTTTTATTGACCTTGGAAGGATGGAAGATCGAGTCCATCTTGAACCGGTCAGGATCGAACTCCATGCTGTGGGCAGAGTTTTCCTGCAATATTGCATTCTAACCACTGGGCATGTGGTATACCACGTGATCGTAGCTTTTGGCCTTTTTTTGCCAGCTTCTGGCAAAAGCACCCATTCAGAACAATTGGTTTGCACTTAAACCATGGTGATTTGCTTAACAATCATCATAAAAATGATGATCATAAGATTGGGTCCAACTTGACCTATAACTGCAATGACTTACTTCCTAATAATAGCACTTAGACTTATATACCACTTTACAGTGCTTTACAGCCCTCTCTAAGCGGTTTTACAGAGTCAGCCTCTTGCCCCCAACAATCTGGGTCCTCATTTTACTGACCTCGGAAGGATGGAAGGCTGAGTCAACCTTGAGCCTGGTGAGAGTCGAACTGCCAAATTGCAGGCAGCCGGCAGGCAGCAGAAGTAGCCTGCATTACTGCACTCTAACCACTGCACCACCACGGCTCTTATGATGGAAATTCCAATCCCAATTATGGTTGTAAGTTGAAGACAACTTTCAAAATTTCTATTTTGTTCAGCGGGCGTGGTGGCTCAGCTGTCAAAAGACGCTGAGTTTGTCAGCTGGAAAGCTGACAGCCCGGGTTCAAGACCCGAGTGCCGCGTGATGGCGTGAGCTCCCGTTACTTGCCCCAGCTCCTACCTACTTAGCGGTTTGAAAGCATGTAAATGCAAATAGATAAATAGGTACCACTTCAGTGTGAAAGTAACAGCGTTCCATGCATATTAGTGTATAGTCATGCCGGCCACATGACAATGGAAATGTCTTCAGAGAACACAAGCTCTGCTGCTAAGAAACGGAGATGAGCACCACCCCCTAGAATCAGACATGACTGCACAGGAGAAACCTTTACCTTTTCTATTCTTTCTCATTATAGGAAGGTCGAGAACATGCAGTAATGAGGAAATTAGTTCCTAGAAATTGCAACGACAAAACAAAAAGTAAGTGGTCTGAAATTCTTGCAAGTTAATCGGGATTCTTTTTGCCAGAACACTCCTTGAAATATAATGGTATTAGGTATATAGGAACTAGAACATGGGACAATAGGGCTGGAAAAGATCTTGGAGGACTTCTAGTCCAACCGCCTGAGACTCTATATCATTGTGGACAAATGGTTGACCAATCTTTTCTTGAAAACCTCCAGTGATGGAGCACCCATAACTTCTGGAGGTAAATTGTTCTACTGTTGATTATTCACACTGACAGGTAATTTAGTTCTCCCTCTCTTAGTTGGATCTCTCTTTGATAAGCTTCCACCCATTTACTTCTTGTCCTTCTGGATTCACAATCCAACACTGTACTGTAGTCTTTCCTGTTAAAGAGATGCTTCAGAGCAGATTGGTCTTCTCTTTCATTCTTGTTTCCCGGTGACACGTCAAGAGGTGTCAACGTTGCTCATGTTTGAAAACATTTAACAGATTAACAGAGTTGGAAGGGACCTTGTACTGTAGGTCATCTAGTCCAACCCCCCACCTAAACAGGAAATCCTGCACCATTTCTGACAAATGGCAGTCCAATCTCTTCTTGAAAACCTCCAGTGATGAGGCTCCCACAACTTCCAAAGGCAGCTTAAGTTCCATTGGTTGATTGTTCTCACTGTCAGAAAATTCCTCCTTATTTCTAGGTTGAATCTCTCCTGGATCAGTTTCCATCCATTATTCCTTGTCTGGCCTTCGGGTGCCTTGAAAAATAGCTTGACCCTTCCTCTCTGTGGCAGCCCCTCAAATATTGGAAGGCTGCTATCATATCTCCCCTGGTCCTTCTCTTCACTAGACTAGCCATGCCCAGTTCCTGCAACCGTTCTTCGTATGTTTTAGCCTCCAGTCCCCTCATCATCCTGGTTGCTCTTCTCTGCACTCTTTCTAGAGTCTCAACATCTTTTTTGTAGTGTGGTGACCAAAACTGGATGCAGTACTCTAGGTGTGGCCTTACTAAGGCTTTATAGATTGGTATTAGTACCTCACTTGATCTTGAATGTATCCCTGTTAATGCAATTTAGGATTACATTATACTGCTGGCTCATATTTAACTGATTGTCCACTAAGACTCCAAGATCCCTCTCACAGTTACTGCTATTAAGCCTGGTTTCATCTAGTCTATATGTGTACACATGTATTTACACACATGTAGTTCCCTGTAATTTGTATGGGATGTCCAGTTCTGATAAACTTGTGCTGTCTAAAGTTGGGGGCAATTGTAAAGTGAGCCTGAATAAACTCTGTTATCAAGGTTAATATTGTGCGGGTTTCTGTAACTCATGGATGTTGGAGTAGAGACATGTATTGGGAGCTTCACGTCTTTCAGTGGCATCCAAGGAAGCCCCTGAAGAACAGTGTCTTCAACCTTGGCAACTTCAAGATAGGTGGGCTTCAACTCCCAGAATTCTCCAGCCAACATGGCTGGTTGGGGAATTCTGGGAGTTGAAATCCGCCTATGTTGAAGTTACCAATGTCGAGAAACATTGACCATAGAGAAAACCACAAACCAAAAACATTGTCCTCTCTCTCATTCCTCCTCCCACAGGGGTGTTTTTCGGTGGATGTGGGAGGGGGATGTGGGTCCCTCTTAAATTCCACAGATTTAAATATGAGTAAATTGTTTAAGAAGTTCTAGTCACATTTCGTCGACACTACTGGTGTTTGTGTTTTTTTAAAGGCAGAATATGGGAAGGCAGGAGCAGACGATGTTTGCTTTTTCAACTAGGCCCGTTTTCCCGTTATTCTAGAAGTGATCAAAGCTGCCTTGTTAAATTTACAGACTGGTTTTTCTGGTTCCTGTGAAACCACAAGGCTGTCACTGTCAGAATCTGTTCTGACTTGAAGACACTAGCATGAGCTTAACTTTGGTGGCAGACGTAGCTAGTTTTGCTTGGCTTCGTTTCAGTCTCCATGATCAACTTTACGGTTTTGGTTTTATTTTCATGAAGAATTTTATTTTCACCTCGTTTATTTATCTGTTCGTTTGTTTTTTATTCTGTTGAGTTTTTGCGGGGCGGGGGTTGAATTTCAAGAGAGAGAGAGAGAGGGAGAGAATGAGAGAGAGAGAGAGAGAATGAGAGATAGAGAGAGAGAGAAAGAGAGAGAGAGAGAGAGAGAGAGAGAGAGATGGTTGGATGGAGAAAGAGAAAGGGGAGAGGGAGGGATGGATGGAGAGAGAGGGGGAAGGGAGGAATGGATCGATGGAGAGAGAGAGAGAGGAAGAGAGAGAGAGAGAGAGAATGAGAGAGAGAGGGGGGAGAGAATGAGAGAGAGAGAGAGAGAGAGAGAGCAAGCAGCTGTAAAACCTCTGTGTCCTACCAAAGGCTATCTTACTTCATCCCTATTGCTGACATCCGCCAACAATTATTTATGCAATTTTGAAAAATGTAGCTTCACTTTTATATGGACAAGCAACTGAGTTATGCAACACTTGATTCTGGAAAAGTCCTTCAAAGTGCCCCAGAACTTCCCCATAGCAACAGGGAACTCAGAAGCAGCTGTTTAATAATCCTCCTCCTCCTCCTCACAAACCCAACTCCCTTCTAGCACTGATGATGTTATTTAGTTGAGTAATGAAAGGTCTGCAAGAAAGCAACCCAGCTCAGAGAGCACCAAGGACCCCACAGTCGTCTCCTCCTTGTGGTCATCCTTGTTCTCCTCCTCCTCCTCTTGGTTGTCCTCGTCCTCCTCCTTCTTCTTGTCCTCCTCCTCTTTCTCCTCCTTTCATCTAACTCAAATTGATCCTATTCCTTTCCAGCTCTGAGTCAATCTTTTGACGTCTTCATCGACAAGGTGCCCCAGGAGTATTGGAAGAGATTCATGAGGCTCCTCAAGTTGAGCGACAATGAAATTGACTCTGCAATAATCTCTTCACAATATAAAAACGATCAGTATTACCAAATGCTGCGGACCTGGCTGGACAAAAACGGTCAGGCAGCTACCTTGAATGTTCTTCTGGAGGGGCTCAGGGACATGGACTTAAAGGGTATTGCAGAAGAAATCACAAACATTCTCCTTAATAAGCATTTGTACGTCTACGAAGATTAGATGCTTAGCCAGGTGGTCTCTTCTTGAATCTAGTCTTTGACCGCCTGGCAAAATGGTAAGGAGAAGATGTTATGTTGCTAGCTTCTTCTTCAAGTCATCAATTGTTTACATTTTAAAATAATAAAAACCAGCACGAGGCCTTCTACTATATGTTGGTAGCTAGGACTGTGCTGGACATGAGACCCAAAGTCAAAATACGCTTTCAAAATTAGATGTGGATTATGCCAGGCATAGTTGTCGCCCTGTCCTTAACAGGAATGGTGTCCTTTCACAGACTTCGCCAAGTCACCCTTTAATCTCAGGGAAATACACCCTGGAGTTGAGGAAGTGCCAACAGCGTGCCATGTATGGCTTGGACTCTGTGCTTAGGTCCCTCTTCCTTTCTTTAGTCCACCTGGATGGCACAACTGCTCTTTAAGCCCACCCCACCCCAAAGGATCCATCTCTTTAAAGAGGTGCCACGCAAATTTGGCTTTTCAGAAATTATCATGCTAAGAAATATTACTATACCGGTGTTATTTTGAAGGCTGTCCCATTCTTTTCAGTACAAATGATGTTTCCTCCCCCACCCGATGAAAGTTATTTTTGGTGGCCAAATGGATCCTTTTCAATATAAATTCTGTATTATTATTATTTTTTTTACAAAAAAATAATTCGTCGTAGGTAAATTTGGATAGACTTGGGTCTTCTTTTGAATATGCTGTGATCTTTGTATATATGTATAAAGTATTTGGTTTTAAATCTAGCTGCTATTTAAAATAAAAATGAACCTCCATGAATAAGGACAATCCTTTCACTTGATGGGCTAGCATTTGCCATTGTGTTGAAACTGTGAAGCTTTTCATGAGTTTTCTGCTGAATTTAATTCTCCTGGGTAGAGAGTGCCAAATGTTTAAAACCGATTTCTTGTATCTACATCTCGGGGGTACTAGATGTCGAGGGGAGAAATAGTCCTTCCCTTAATTCCATACAGCAGGAGTCCACAACCTGTGGGCCACGAACCACTATTGGGACGTGGCCTATTTGCAACCAGGCCACACACGAGTGGCATGCCGGTGCACCTGGTAAGGTTGGAATACACGGCAATGTAGTGTATTCAGGTGCTCTCCTTAAGAGAATTTCTTCTGCCAGGACTAGAAACATTTTCTCTTCTTTCTCTTCAGTGAAAATGAAGTATCTCACAAAAATGGAATGCTATGCCCAAAATTATTTTCTATCTCCGTTTTTAGACATGCCATTATGCATGTCACCTAAAGAAAGGATTGTTCTTAAATGCACTTTGGAGGGTTTGTAGGAATCTCTCTTCGGTAGTTTGAGAAGAGAGGCAGAAGGTTTTTCCAACTACTTGTTTACAATTTAGTATTAATTGATATTCTACAGGGCAAGATCCAGATCCTCAGCAAGAGAATTCGTATAATACGTTGATGAAATTGGCCCGAATTGATTGATCTTTTTAAAATATCCTGTTAATTTGAGTTCCTTAAAAAAAAATACGTGCATTGTGTATTTGCTGCTCGAAGGTCAAAATAGGAGCATTAAAAAAGAAATGTACTGATCTTTACAGACGTTACCCCCCCCTAAAAAAAATCCCCAGTAATTGAAGTTCTTTAATTTGCAAGATTCTATTTCTGATTTGCAGTAAACGTGACAAGGGTTTTTATTTACGGCAGTTTTAAAAAACAAGCTTATGAATTTTTTATGTTGTAAATTATTAATCTGGGCCATGAGAGAGGGGCGATTTGGCCTATCGCACTCCGCGTCTTTGCAAGCAATTCTTCGAGGTTGTAAATTGCGGAGCTCCGTTCTCGTTGTGCCTGTAAAGGTATTGTAGTCTCTGTTCTCTCGGTCTCACCCATCATGCTGAAGGACAGCTTCCATCGGTCCTTCTTCCTGGGGCTAATTAAAAATGCAAGAAAATCACCCTAGGAGAGACATGTCCCCCTTCCCCCCCCCTCCCATTTTCTTCTCCCTGATGAAATTCTCTTGAAAAAAATTCTCTCTGGGCACAATGAGAATTGATCTGCTGAATAAAATTCCGCATTGGTGACAGGAAGGGCATCCGGCCAGTAAACACTCTGCCCAGACTCCACCCCACGAAGGATTATGGATTATGGAGTCGTTAAAAGGAGATTATATCAATATTTTGGAAATCACGGCAAGGTAAGGTTGCATTCTTTGGCTCTTGGCCTTTGTAGAGGCAACTTGCTGGCAGCCATCCTAACAGCTGGGCTAAGTAAGCATTCGATCTGACCCAGCTGTGCTACATTGGGCAGCTTCCTGGTGGTTTGTCCCCATTCCTAGGGACTTCCTAGGGAAAGACACTCATACAATACTTCCAAATAAGAGGAAGAAAAGCAGGGTTAGATTGATCTCCAAACCCCCAACCCCTTACATTTAGGTGAAAACTCACTTATTAGAATTTTTTTTTTTAGAATGGTCCTCTTTGGTTCCATTAAAAATTATTTTTTTAAAAATAAAAATAGATTTACCCCCCTAGATTTACAGATATGAATATTCCTCCCCCCACTCTGTTCGGGTTTGAACTGGGCTTGCAAAATAAAAATAAAAACCAGGACTAAAGCAACTTTCAAGAGTGAGATTTTGGCAACGAGTGGAGCAGGTTTTTTTTTAAAAAAAATCTCTTAAAAAGCTACAATTTGGGGCATGCTTCCTCTGAGCCTGCTAATCGGTCCACCAGGATTTAAACTTTTGGATTAAATTGGAATTGCAAGAAAAGTTCAGTTGACCTTGACTTCACTGAGATCTTTCAATATTTTGATTTCTTTTTCCACCCCTTTTATCTGTGATATCAGCTTTCCTTTGCAGCTGTAGTAGGTCAGCGCATTCAGATCCCTCTTGTAGGGTCCAAGGTGGCCCTGAAGTTGTGTAGAACAGGGGTCTCCAACCTTGGGAATTTTAAGACTTGTGGACTTCAACTCCCAGAGTTGAAGTCAGCAAAGCTGGCTGAGGAACTCTGGGAGTTGAAGTCCACAAGTCTTAAAGTTGCCAAGGTTGGAGACTTCTGGTGTACAACATTGGTCTTTGTGCGCTGCCCTCTTTTCAGTGTTGAATTCTCTGCTTTTGATATCCCACATTTGATTCTGGATAAAGACTATTCATGTTTGGTAGTGAGTGGATTCGGTCCCCTCTGAAATCCATGTCATGGCATTGTTGTTTTGGCTAGCTTACTGTGTTTGCAATGTGTCCTTGATTCCGGACAATATTTGTACGACAACATCAGCACAAGAGGAATTAGGTGGGATGGTTTCTGCCCATAACTTTCAGCAGTCAACAATTTAATTCAAGAGGGGTGGTGGACGGAAGGAAAGCAGAGAGATTGCGAATTTGGGTGGCAGAGCCATCTTCCCATTGCCCGAGGAACTGTCCAACAGCTTCTTGGGTAGACAACTGTTCTGGATAAGCCTCAATATCCAGAACACTCAGCTGTGACTTTACACTGTGGCTTACTGTTTTGAGTGAAAATAACATTTTTTTAAAAAATCGGGATGAATTTGAATTTGCCTTACTCTGTGGCATTTCCAGAGGCCAATAAAAAGAGGGCCACGAGAATTTTTATTTGGTATGGAATGCAGGAAATCACTGCAGCATTAAAGAGAAGAGGGTACATAATGATCGACCCCGAGCTTTTTAAAATCTTAAGTCTCCTGCATGCTTTTTGCATGTGGTACGTGACGGAAGTCTTGATGACCAAGTCCATCTGATTAAGTTTTTGTGGAGTTGGAAGACCAGGTCGCCTGTAAATCTCTGAGATTCAACATATTTCTCTCCGATGTATTGGCTAACACCATAGGATGATAACAAGTCCAAATCTTCTTTCTTAGCAGCTGGGATCTGGATCTTGCCAAAGGTAGAATGCCATATTTGAAAACTTGAAAATTGAAATTAAGAAACAAAAGTAATGTTGTAAATAGTTACCCTTCAAGTTGAAGTTTGTTTCAAAGTTGTATCTGTTTCTAGATATTTAATATATGCTTTTTGTTTCCGTTTTCTTTTCTCTTTAAAAGTTAACTTCGTGTAGAAATGTTAACTTAAGATAAAGAAGTATTTTAGATGGTTAAAAAAAAACTTTTAAAAAAAATGTGTTTGGGTTTGTGTAAATTCTTGGTTAATTTATAGTCTTGCTTTTTGCTCTTTGCCTATTGAAATTACAACGAAAATAGGTACTTGTTAAGCTATGTAAAGTTCTGTTTTGCAATAAATAAAACCAACATTAAAAATTGCTCACTGTTGTGTGGTCTATTAAGACTGATCTGTCCCCGTCCACACACACACACAAACACAGCCAGCCGAGGGTTAAGAAAGTACTTGGCACGCACACAGGTCGTTATCTCAAACTTGGCAGCAATATAAGCACCGTCTGCCAAGAGCTTTTACTGCAACAGATAACATAAAATTACATACGCATTGCAAATAGTCCAGCAAAAACAATATCCCTTTCGGCAGCTTCAGACGTTGTTCAAGTGACTAGCCAAAGTTCGTTTTTGTTCGTCACGGAGTTTTACCAGCCACCACCCTCTCTTATATAGTCTCTGGGGTGTGGTCCAGTGACTCAGTTCTAATCCCTAGCACGCCTCCTTAACTGCTGCAACCGTTTATCACGCCTTCGTTGGCGTGCATCCAGGAATGACGGCTCTCCTTCGCTCTCATCCGAGACACCTGGCTCCTGGCTAATCTCCTCTCCCTCGGCCGGCACCTGAGACAGTGCCAGAGGGGAGGGGCCTGGAGGGGGAGGCCTGGCTGATTCCTCTCCCTCATGTTCGGAGCTTTCTTCCTCCGATGAGATAGGCTCAGAGGGCAGGGCCACAACAAAGACATATTTCTTGTGTTAAGCAAACAGATCTTTTCTTGGTTTTGGTATTAACTTTTTCTCCCTGGCTTTTTGTGTTCTCATCGTTAAAAACCCTCAAGCCCCCCCTCCTCCCCCCCAATGAGAGGGAAAAAGAGGGTGGGAATCAAATTCTTCACTGGATTAAAATTTACCATACTAGAATAGAATAACAGAGTTGGAAGGGACCTTGGAGGTCTTCTAGTCCAACCCCCTGCTTAGGCAGGAAACCTTTACACCACTTCAGACAAATGGTTATCCAATATCTTCTTAAAAATTTCCAGTGCATTCACAACTCCTGGAGGCCAGTTGTTCCACTGATTAATTGTTCTAACTGTCAGGAAATTTCTCCTTAGTTCTAAGTTGCTGCTCTCCTTGATTGGTTTCCATCCATTGCTTCTTGTCCTGGCCTCAGGGGATTTGGAGAATAGCTTGACTCCCTCTTCTTTGGGGCAACCCCTGAGATATTGGAACGCTGCTATCATGTCTCCCCTAGTCCTTTTCATCAAACTAGACATACCCAGTTCCTGCAACTGTTCGTCATATGTTTTAGCCTCCAGTCCCCTAATCATCTTTGTTGCTCTTCTCTGCACTCTTTCTAGAGCCTCCACATCTTTTTTACATCGTGGCGACCAAAACTGAATACTACTTCTGGATTGCTTGTATTTTGTTCGTTGTTTTTTTTAAATTGGGTGAATTATTTTCATTCACAGCTGAGTCCCAATTAGTTGCAAAAAGTATTTTGGGAGAAGTCCTTCGGGATAATCACCAACCTTTATCTCCCTTGACACTCTGCCAAAGACCTACTTGGCAAAGCCACACAAAGTCCAGAATCAAACAGAGATGCCGACTGGGAACAGAAATATCAATGTTGCTTTCCTGCAAAGGGCCCACGTGCCTGTACTCCTCTTTTAAGCTTTATGGGAGGAGCCAATCATCTCCAGGCCTTACTCCCGAGTCGTCCCTTTTATTTTAACTGTTCTTGCCTTCTGGCAGCTTTGCACATGTGCGCACTAGGAACAGGCTCCCTCTCTTCCTCTGCCCCTCTGATGCCTGACTCTGGAGGCTCTGGAGTCCGCGCATAACTCCCAGATGGCCCTGGCCCCATTTCTGCCTCCGACGCAAAGCCCTCAACTGAGCCTTCCCCAGACTCCATGACTGGTCCATGTTCCTCCCCAGCCTCCTCATGGTCCGACTCCACTGCCAGCTCTGCAGGCTGCTGGTGGACCACAAGAAGTTGTGCCAGTTGGAGAAAGAACGTAGAACATTCTGTATCCTACTCCACGATACCCGTACCTCTAGTAGGGCTGAACATTTTCACACTTCCTTTTGTGAGTGCAAGTTGGCTAAATAAATTTTATTAGTAGAGGGAATTTTTTATGCCAATATCAGAGTTTATTCTTGAGGGCCCGCAAAGAAATTCTAGTTCTAATGCAGGTGACTCACACATCCTCTTTGCAGCTATTGTTAACTTTCAATAACTGCAAGATGTAGAACAGTGTTGGCGAACCTTTTCGGACCAAGTGCCAAAATGGGTACAGGTGTGCATGGGGAAGCACCAAAATCCAGAAGAGTTTAGCTCCCTGGCATGCATATGCATGTCAGAAAGCTGAGCTTCTGGTTTCCGGCGTCGGCATGCGCGTCCAAAGACCAACTGGCATGTGCTTGCTGGAAATCGGAAGCTCAGCTTCCCAGCATGTGCATGAGCGCCAGGGAGCTGCTTTTCCAGTTTCCAGTGCTCCTGCATGTGAAGACCAGCTGGTCAGCGCCCATGTGCACGCCAGAACCCAGAAGAGCAAAGGGCAGCCGTTGTCATGCCCGGAGAGATGACTCTGCATGCAACTTCCAGCACGTGTGCCATAGGTTCGCCATCACGGGCCTAGAATTTGCAGCTAGTCTGGTGGAGCCTAAAGCCCTGGTGGCACAGTGGTTAAAGTGTGGTATTGCGGGCAAACTGCCCAGAGTCTAGAGTTCGATCCTAATGGGATCAAACACCTTGCGTTGTCATCTTCTTTTTGCTTCTGAGGCAATACTTGGGGTACTAGAACATGTCTCCTGACTTCTACTTTAGCAAAAGCTATTGTAGGTAAAAGCTCACAACACTAAAGCTTTAGTTATCCGAAGCACAGTCAGAAGCCGCAGTGGTTCGAATGCAGTATTGCAGGCTAACTCTGCTCACTGCCAGGAGTTCAATCCTGACTGGCTCAAGGTTGACTCGGCCTTCCATCCTTCCAAGGTCGGTAAAATGAGGACCCAGATTGTTGGGGAGCAACATGCTGATGTTGTAAACCAAGAAGTGCTGTAAAGCACTTTTGCTGTTAGTTGCGAAATCATATCCGACCCATCATGACCCCATGGACAATGTTCCTCCATGCCTTCCTGTCCTCTACCATCCTCTGGAGTCCATTTAAGCTCATGCCGACTGCTTCAGTGACTCCATCCAGCCACCTCATTCTCTGCCATCCCCTTCTTCTTTTGCCCTCCATCGTTCCCAGCATTAGGCTCTTCTCCAGTGAGTGCAAATCACTATGGATGATATATAATCCTAAATGCCATTGCTACTATTCAGAACTGCAACCCACCCACTGCTCCGGATTGTCACCCTCTCTTCTTTCCTTCCCCTTCCAAGTCACAGACAAGTTCACAACCGTCTCTTTAAAATACCATTTATTACAACAGAACCTTCCACACTAAAATCCAGGATGTGTATTGGTTGGTGTTTTCATTTTCATTAAAACAGCACATTAACTGCTGGGGGGTGGATGGGTTTATACTCTTTCATACAAGTGCATCTTCAAGCATTATGGCCAAAATCGGGCGGGGAATTGTTCTCTTCCTCCCATTTTTCTCCTAATCTGCCATGTTTGGTCAGTCTTGTAGATTGTGTTGCAAACTACTGACAAAATTAAGGGGGGGGGGAGGGAAGTGGGTGGGAGCAGCAGCTTTCCAGCTTTGCCAAGCTGCTTTTCTCTATTCTAGGGTCATTTCTGCCCCCCATCCCTCGCCCTTGAACCCCAGTGGAGGATCTGTGCTTCTCTTGGCCAGCGTCTCCTTCATAGGGGCGTCCGCCATTTGCTGGCAGGACAACATTCCTTGCTCAAAGCAAAACATCTAAGAGATAAGTGCCTGGGTAGTCATTAAGTGCAACCAAAAATAAAGTGGCCCTTTTGCCAGGAACCCAGAAAGATAAAATGAAAGTTCTGGGACACGCAGCATCTGCAGCAGCTTGAAATGTTAAGGTGCAGAGAATGGTCGATGTGAGGTACATAATACTTTTTTTTTTTTAAGAAAACTTTTTTTTTGCAAAGGGGAAAAGAAAAAAAAATACAGAATGGCTCCATCTTTCTTGGAGTAATTGTATACCCACCCCCACTTTAAACAAAAACAAACAAACAATTTTTTCCCTTCCTCCCCCCCTCATTTTTTTTTTTTTTTTTTGCAAAAGGGAGTCAGTCCCGCTGGATGAGTTGAGCCTCTCGGAAAGAAAACAGGACCGCGTTCCGTTCCACCGGTGGGAGCCTCCATCTGCTGTGCTTCTAGACTAGCCGAGGCAGGGATGGAGACCACCCAGAGCTCTGGATGAGATGTTGGACATTCTGGCTCCTGAGTTGCTCTCCTTCGGGTTTTTCCCTCATTGGCCTCTCGGGGATATTCATGCGGATTTTCCCCGCTGAGGGCCGCAGCCTGTGGCATCTCTCGCCACGCGCCTTTGGAATGCCAGGCACCAGTAGGCTCCTTCCTCCATCTTCTAAGAGCCATCGAAGCATAGGCAGTGCAACCCTCAAACCACAGCAGAGGAAGAGGAGGAGGAGGAAGAGGAAGAGGAAGCTGTGGCTGCCGACGAGGACGGGGAAGAAGCATTCCAGAAGAGCCACCGTCTCTTCGGCTGCCGTTTCTGATGGAGGTAGTCTTCCTTCTCGCGCTCTTTCCTGGCTCTCTGGAAGTGATCTTCTTCCTTCAGGTACCAAACGGGGGGCCACCGATGCTTCTCAAAGTAATCCTGATTTTCTGCAGAGAAAAAAATTAAAGAGACGTTAAGAACCTCGGCCCGATATTAAGAGTTCTTCTGTTTCTTGTTTCTGAAATAGGTAAAGGTAAAGGTTCCCCTCGCATATATGTGCTAGTCGTTCCCGACTCTAGGGGGCGGTGCTCATCTCTATTTCAAAGCCAAAGAGCCAGCGCTGTCCGAAGACCTCTCTGTGGTCATGTGGCTGGCATGACTCAACCTCAAAGGCGCATGGAACCCTGTTACCTTCCCACCAAAGGTGGTCCCTATTTTTCTACTTGCATTTTTAACATGCTTTCAAACTGCTAGGTTGGCAGAAGCCGGGACAAGTAACGGGAGCTCACCCCGTTACACGGCACTAGGGATTCGAACCGCTGAACTGCCGACCTTTCGATCGACAAGCTCAGCCTCTTAGCCACTGAGCCACCGCGTCCCTCTAGTACCGTGATGGTGAACCTATGGCACGCGTGCCACAGGTGGCACGCTGAGCCATATTGGTGGGCACGCGAGCGTTGCCTTAGCTCAGCTCCAGCACGCATGCGCTTTGGGACTTCTGGGCCCACCGGAAGTGTTTCCGGCCTCCGGAGTGGTGGGGAAGGCTGTTTTTGCCCTCCTCAGGCTCCTAGAAAGCCTCTGGAGCCTGGGAAGGGCAAAAAACGGCCCGGAGGGGTTGCGCGCGCATGCGTGGGGGGGTGGGCAGGGCACATAGAATTATGGGTGTGAGCACACACCTGTGTGACCACCCCACACTCCCCCAGCTTTTGGCACGCGATGGCAAAAAGGTTAGCCATCACTGCTCTAGTATTTCTGAAATACTCATACAAATTTAACTTCCTTTTTTTTTTAAACAGCCGGTTGCAATATAAAAACGACTGTCTGACGGCAGTTTGCAACGTCAAAATAAAACCAACAACATGGTAGTATACTCCATGCGTGTTTGCATGCCCAGCTAGGTATTTTGTCGGCTACCAAGCAAGCCTTGCCTATTTGCGAAATGCAGGCATGGCAAGAAAACTTAAATCGGGCTAGCCTGTTTAGCTCCAAGAACTGCATTGGGCTTGCGGAGACATAAATTGATGGTGGAGCAAAGACTGGGAGCAGCTCAGAGCATCAAGAATGGATGAATCCAGTTCTTTAATTGGTGGAGAAGCAACCGTAAGTAACTTCTCGGGCTGTTCATTTTCAGATTATTATTTTCCCCCCTCTTGAGATTGCAAAAGGGATAAAGGCAGCAAGTAGAGATGACAACTCTGTGCCATAAAAAGCTTGCAAAAACGGTTAGAGTCATCTTTATGATCTACGCCAGGGGTCTCCAACCTTGGCAACTTTAAGACTTGTGGACATCAATTCCCAGAGTTCCTCAGCTGAGGAACTCTGGGAGTTGACGTCCACAAGTCTTAAAGTTGCCAAAGTTGGAGACCCCTGATCTATGCAACTCCCTTGCCTAACAGGAAAGCAGCTCCACCGTTCTACAAACTCACACCTACCTGCTGACATTGCTTTCATCTCCCGAGGGAACTTGCGACAGATATTGTTGTAGTTGGTGCAGATATGGTGGAGGCACCAATCGGCAAGCTGGTAGGCACCATGGAACTGGGGGAAGAGAAAAAGACAGGCTGGCGTGAGTCACCAATTTATTTGCATTTAGCCAGGAAAGCTATACAGCTAGTCTTTGACTTAACAAACATTCATTTACTGACTCAATGTTATAACAACATTGAAAAAAGTGACTTACAATAGGTTTTTACACTTATGACACCTCATCCTCATGATCAGATGAGCAAAATTTGGACTCTTAGCAACTGGCACATATTGAGACTTGTTCTGTAGACCTTTTGAGTCAACTCTTCCTTTGAAAAGGAAGAAAGAATCCGTACAATCTAGTGAAGGGATGGGTATCTATGGCAATGTTATGGCCTGTGAACCATGCTGGTTCAGGAATTTTGGGAGATGAAGTCCACAGATCATAAACTTGCCATAGTTGACATCTCCACCAGGCAAGAAACTGTGAGTTCTAGTCCTGCTCTCGTCACGAAATACTAGCTGGTTGACTTTGGGGCCAAGTCCTTCTCTCTCATCCCAATTCACCTCTCAGGATTATTGTTGTGGGGAAAATAGGAGGAGGAAGGAGTGTTGGGATACGCTCGCCGCCTTGTGCCATTTTAAAAAATAATAAAGGCGGGGATATAAATACCTGAATAAAAATAAATAAATAAAAAGAAGGATCTCATCCAAGTCAATGCAGAAGCATTGAGCTTCACAGAACGTATCATGAGATGAGTATCAGATTATGGCCAGCAAGATTCCAAAAGAAGAACAATAAAATAATGCCAAACAATATAATGCCAAAACAACTAGACACAAAGAGAGAGATTTTTTCCCCCATGCCATCACTCTGCTGAATATCTAATTTCCACAGCATTGTCTAAAGCCTCAAGATATTCACCCATATAGTTGGGCTGTATTTCTATTATCCTTCTCATCTTTCCTACTGCTGTCTCCTATTGGTATCTTATGATTTCTCACTTGTTGTTTGTATTTATTTATTATTTATTTATTTTATTTTATTCAATTTGTATCCCGCCCTTCTCCTAGTGGACTCAGGGCAGTGCACAGCCAGAACTAAAACACATACCAATACAAAATTTAAAATTTTTAAAAGAATTACATGACTTTGGCCCAGAATTTAAAACATTCAAACTAAAACCTGTTGACAATTTAAAAAGCTAAATGTAGCCTATGATTTATTATTGTTATGATATATGATCTCATGACTTGTTATATAGTTATAACTCATATATGTTATGATAAATGAACTTATGACTTGTTTGTATGCACTGAGAACATATGCACCAGGGGACAAATTCCTTTTGTGTCCAATCACGCTTGGCCAATAAAGAATATTCCTATATTCCTATTTGTTTACGGAGATTCTCAATCATCTCCAGGTCCTGGTTGTCCCAAAGGTGCTTTTTCAAGAAGCAACTGGACTTTTTGGGTTTTCTTTGAAGACGTTTCGCTTCTCATCCAAGAAGCTTCTTCAGCTCTGACTGGATGGCGGGGAATGGAACAGAGCTGGGGTTTCAGCAGGTTCTGACCAGTTCTGGAGAACCAGTAGCGGAAATTTTGAGTAGTTCAGAGAACCAGTAAATACCACCTCTGACTGGCCCCGCCCCCATCTATTCTCTGCCTCCCGAGTCCTAACTCATCAGGAGGAAATGGGGATTTTGCAGTAACTTTCCCCTGGATTGGGGAGGGAATGGAGATTGTACAGTATCCTTCCCCTGCCACGCCCACCAGGCCATGCCCACCAAGCCACACCCACAGAACCGGTAGTAAAAATTTTTGACACCCAACACTGGAATGGAATATATTCCTATTCCTATATAACACTATTCCAAAACGAGGAGAATTTTGTATTGACTCTAAGTAAATTGTTCATACCTGAGCCAGCTCCAGGAACAAAAGGACATCGCCATCTATATCCACTAACATCTGCGTTGCTTCCATCAAACCAGACACAGTGAACTGTTCTGCAAAACAATAAAAATATAAAACACAGTCAGTTGGTTCATTACGTGGCCTGCAAAGAAGATTTAAATTTCTGTCTTGCCAATAACAAGCCAATTGAGTTATTGGTGGTCTAGAAATAATAATCTGAGAAACGGTATCCTGTATTGCATTTTTTTTAAAAATAGACCTTGTCAGTTCTGGAAAGCCATATTTTGCATTGGGCCTTCAGGCCTGCCACATTTACTACTGTGGGAAACTGGGAGGGGGGATTGTATGGAGCTGGGGTGATATGTAGTCATAATAACATTCCTTTCTCAGAGAGTCAAGGACATCTTGCCCTGCACTTGGGAGGCTGGAACTGGGAGGGATCTCCAGTTGGGACGGTGCTTTGATTGGACCACGTGATGGACATGTGGGTGCTGGGACAGGGGCTTGGACTTTTCTTTGAGTGGGGAAAACCTGGAAGCTTTCAGATTCGGGTTTTCCCAGATGTGCCAATATGACATCTCTAAAAAAAGGAACTTTGAGGAACTTCTAGCCTCGGAGTTTTCTTTCGTTGGGGGTGTTACTTGGAACCCTGACAGTCCTATTCACTGAAAGCTGAGGTGAATAAAAAGGCAAATATAAACTTGACACACATAGAGTGCGTCCAAAATCAAAAATAAGTACGATGTTTATTTCCTACGTTTGGCATTTGAAATGACTCATCGTTTCATAGATGCGAAGAGAGGAAATGCAACGCGGTTCTTAGAATTACCTGTGAGTGCAACCAGGTGTGGGAGACACAAGCGGTTGGCCAAGATGATGAGCTTCATGTAATCAAGGTCTGAAGAAGAATAGAACTGGCCAGTATACAGGTACTCAAGCACTGCTCGCATGCAACTCTTACTGGTGTACGGTAGAACTACCTGCAATGATGAGGATACCAAGGGGTTAAATCTGTACCATTTTGCAAAATTAAAATAAAATAAATAATAATAAAATAAATAAAATAAAATAAAATAAAATAAGAAAAGAAAAGAAAAGAATAAAAGAAAAGAAAATAATAAAATAAAAGAATAATAAAATAATAAAATAAAATAAAATAAAATAATAAAATAAAATAAAAATAATAAAATAAAATAAAATAAAATAAAATAAGACCCCCTCGCATCCTGGACATAAATTGTTTCAACTTCTACCCTCAAAACGATGCTATAGAGCACTGCACACCAGAACAACTAGACACAAGGACAGTTTTTTCCCGAACGCCATCGCTCTGCTAAACAACTAATTCCCACAACACTGTCACATTATTTACTAAGGCTGCATTACTATTATTCTTCTCATCCTTACTAGTACCTATCTCTTCCCACTTATTACTATATCCATGTTGCTTGTATCTTTCAATTATATTGTTTTTAATTGTTTCCTAATACGATTTGATAGCTTATCAAAGTATCACAAACTTGACTATCAGTAAGTATTGTATCTTTTTATTCTTGATGAATGTATTTTATTCTCCTTATGTACACTGAGAGCATATATATTTAAGGCAAATTCCTTGTGTGTCCAATCACACTTGTCCAATAAAGAATTCTATTCTATCCTATCCTATCCTATCCTATCCTATCCTATCCTATCCTATCCTATCCTATCCTATCC